CGAAATGACAAACCAATTCATTGTTGTACTTAGGGTCGCCGTTCTGAACGGCGGCTAGAGGCGTTGAGGTTCCAGAATATGTTTGATTAGGGAGCGTGCCAACGTCACACGAATCATAACTATACGGCCACTGGAAGGAGAGCATCACATCAATAATGCAGCGATTTAGCAGTACGAAAAGACTAACCATCCCCTCAAGACTCGCGCCGTAACCTGCGCGTCCTAACAACCCAATAATGTCAGTATCACGGAAAAGTCCAAGATCATGTGACAAGGCTCACCTAGATTTCCCATAGTCCAACTTTAAGAGCATTTTGAACATCAATCAAAGGACAGGAAAGTTAAACTTCTTGCTCACACCGCTGGCCAGAGTCCGCTAATGACATGTGATGTTAATTATAAACTCTGCGATGAACAAAGACACAAGTGCATACGCAATATTATTGGCCCCAGGAAGAGTTACGGCCGCTATTGGGAACTCCGATGAGAATACTTACAGCGAGTATATATTGAGACACACCTTCAATCAATCCGCCAGTAAAACAGAATTTATTCCTGCAAAGTTCATAATCAGCAAGCGAAACCACGGGGCTGCCAAGAGGTGTTGCACCATGATTGGATCTATGGAGAATTTCAGACTTATCAAAATGGCTTGAAGAACAAAGACCCTACCATGCCCGATCGGTATTTCATGTTGTGGTTAAGAGCAGTATTTTCGATTTTGCTCAGAGTCAATCTCAAGGCTCCGTCCTTCGTTGTCGCTGCGCTCGGATCGTACCATTCAAGATCATTCTGCCAACAAAAGATGGCCTTGACTTCAGCTTGATCACAGGGCAGACATGCGTACTCACGGTTTGCCAGTAGTGCAGATTTGGCTTTCATGAGCATATTGAGCATATTGAATAGATTAGCATTTGCGACAGTAGAATGTATGACAAAAATCACGTACCGCCTCCCAGTATGGATCATCGCCTGGATAAAACGATCTACCGTCCGTATTGAATTCATCCGAAAAGACTAGGTCCCATTGATCATCAGGATTCATATACGATGCCTTTGTGTAGGCATCCTGAGGGGTGTCCAGATCGATGGGAGCAAAGTTTCCTGGCATCTTCGCGACCTGGCCGGTGCCATTTGTGCCTCCGGGTCCAAAGCCACCTTGATCGGACGGTCGTTTCTTGAGGAAATGACTCATTATCGGGTAACCTTTTATGAGAACGGTGTTCAAAAGGAGGCTAACGGTGTCAACGGTCGAAGCATACCAGCGCTGATAAAGAAATGTTGTATCAGCTAATTTCAGGAGTAAATGGACCCCAGGTACTTACAAAAGGGTCATGATGCCAGTAACAAGTACAAAAAGACACCCGAGGTTCACTATACCACGCCTGGTAAATAGGTTTCCGCCTCGATCGTTCTTCAAATCTCGTGTAGGGTCAGGATTATGAAGCGAGTCATCAGGTTCCGGCTCTCTCATGGAAAGTGCGATAGGTCCCCATTCCGCCGGATTGGGGGCGAAAGCATACTAAGAGACCATATTAAATCACAACCAAGAATTACATAGCGGTAGATATCCAACCTTCTCCGAGATGGAAGACTGTGGCTGGTTAGTGATACGACAATGTATAAAATTACGGATAACTCACCGAAGCCGATGATGAAAATGACGGACGACCTCCCGAGCCTGCAGGAGACGAAGCGCCGAGACGCTGCGAGGGTGGTAGTAGCAGGTTGGAAGAGCTTGGGGCGTCAAGACGCCGCATCTTTGGGGCGTGCATCTCGAATGACAAACAGCAAGAAATCACGAGTAATTAAGAATCAGAGCTAGCGAGGTAGTGAGAAGCTAGGGCAATATTATAATAGATTAGGTTGCAATTGCAAAGAAAGGAGTTTGCAGTAATTGGTCGGAAATGCCGTGGATGGAGGTTGTGTCGACAAGAATGCCAGGGACGGGTGGCTGGAACGTAAATTTTCATGCTCTTGGCGGGGTTCTAATGGAATTTGATATGATTTGCGAAGATCGGGGTTAATTTACGTACAAACTAGGCACGATTTGGACGATATTCAAAGTTGTGGGCGCTTGTGGGCGCTATCTTCCGTGACCTTGACTCAGAAACCAAACATTCACGATATCCAAGTTGCTACATATTGGCTGGTCGAAAAAATCCGCCTGTGAGGGTCATGGTGTGTCTGCGGCCACGCGACAGTGGATTCTTGGACAGGTCGCAACCATATGGTGCATCTAGCCTTGGGCTCGGTATGTTCCGACTAAGTACCAATGGTAAGGGTCGATTACAGCATGTTCTCCCAATATTAATTAGTCTCTGGTCTCGAAAGCTTTGACAGCTGCTGCCAGTGCCTCAGGAGTGGGTTTAGGTGAACACACTGCCACACGTAGTTTGAGATTATCACCAAGGAATGCAAATGTCGTAGGGCCAATAGCAGCCAGGTTGACTATGGTTGTGGATACACCCTTAGGCGGTTCAAGGGTAGGAAGATCAAAATATTGGCGTAATAAAGGCGTGGCGAATTCAGCGGCAGAAGGGGCAAAGAATACGATCCACCAGTGGCCCGACTCTGAGATACCACCACTTATCAGACAACATATGTAAATGAAAGCCTGAAGTCCAAGATTACCTGCAGGCGTGGATTTAAAGACACTCTCCAAGTTTTTGACAAACGTGGAACTGGACCGAGTCTCGTAAACCTGCAGCGACTCAAGCGCTACGCATCGCTCGGCCAAGATCTTGGGTAAAGTATCGCGATTCTTGTCGCCAGTGAGATATAGCAGCTTATTCCCCTCTCTTTCAGGTAAATCATTCAAGATGAATTGAGCGAGTCGTTCGCTGGTTCCCGTCTGGGAGCCTCCGCGGATATCATTGGGAGTACAAGGACCAGGGCCGCAGAATTCACTAACGGCGGCCAGAGCCTTAGCAGTCGCCTCCCCAACGACATAGAATGGTATAAATGACCAATTGGCTGTGATCGTTATCGGATTGGCGGATAGCTGGGAACAAATGTAAACGAACTAACCTGCATTGTCCAACGGCACTTGCATAAGATCTTTCATAACATGACCCCAGGCCTCGCACGCTCTTGCACTCGTTATAATTACACCTGTGAAGTCTTGAGTTTTGGACCCAAGTACAACTGTCCGCTTGAACACTTCAAAGTTGGTGAAAACCGTCTCCAAGACTGGTACAAATGAAGGCTTATAGCCTAGGTTTTTGAAGGACTCCTCGTAAGGGTCTGGTGTTTCTTGAGAAGGAGATCTCAGCAAGAGTACATTCGTCATACGGTGTGGATGGATGGTATGGAACGTGGTGGGAAGGAGGCTACATGGAAGCAGTGTCGGAGTTTCACATTGGCTGGCAGCTTCCATAAATTCTACTATTAGTTTGACCAAAGTTTGACCGCCAGTTTGCTAACAGAGGCCCTACAACCTCACTTACGTGTGACAGGTGAAACGGCTAGGTTTTTGTCGATCTACGACACAGAACATCACCAATGGCAGTCAAGAAAGAAAAGCCTCTTCACTCGTTAATAGCAGGGGCAACTGCAGGTGGAATCGAAGCGTGAGCTGTCACCTGCTCGCCAGACATTTTTTCGACTTTTCTGACACACTCTAGAATGGTAGATTCTCGACGTATCCCACCGAATTCGTGAAAACGCGATCCCAATTCAGCGGGAAGGTCTGTCTCTTTCTCGGATTCACCGTTATCCCCAACTTAACGAACACAGAAACAAGGCGCAATCTCGATCATAAAAGAGACCCTCAAAACGAAAGGAGTGGCCGGCTTATACTCAGGATGCACGGCTTTAATCGTGGGCAACTCAACCAAAGCTGGCGTGCGCTTCGTCTGTTATGATCACTTTAAACATATGTTGGCGGATCCGCAGGTGAGTTTTTGATAGCCTAGTTGAAACAATGGCTCGATGACTTACGTATTTGCGGGGATGAGGGTAAAGTGAGCGCGCCTCGAAGTCTACTTGGTATATTATAGTGTTCCGGCGAGGAGTATACATGAAGCTGATAACGTGTATAGCCGGACTTGGTGCAGGAATGATGGAGGCAATATTTGCTGTGACACCGTCGGAGACCATAAAGTGTGTATTGAGCCATCTTACCCTTGTTGCTCAATAACATATCCATCAGAACAAAACTCATCGATGATGCCAAGGGTCCTAACCCCCAATATCGTGGACTGATCCACGGAACAACACAAATAGTAAAGCAAGAAGGTATCCGAGGGATCTATCGTGGTCTTTTTCCTGTGGTAAGTTGTTGCTGTCGATTTGTTGCCATGGAATTCTAATTTTTTATGTAGATGATGCGCCAAGGAGCCAATTCTGCCGTTCGCTTCACAACATACTCTACGTTGAAACAATTCGTCCAAGGTACTGCTCGACCTGGACAGAATTTGCCAAGCAGTATCACATTCGGTATCGGCGCAGTAGCTGGGCTTGTAACAGTCTACACAACAATGCCATTGGAGTCTGTATTCGCGTTCTCCTTGTCATTCTAGTTTACTTATTCGTTACCCTTCAGCGTGATCAAAACACGCATGCAATCCCTCCAAGCACGACAACAGTATCGTAACTCTTTCCACTGCGCATACCGTATCTTTACCGAAGAAGGTCTTTTGCGATTCTGGTCTGGGACAACACCAAGATTAGCCCGTTTGGTTGTACGTCATTCATCCCTACCATTGGCAATTTATGCTCAATGTCCATTCCATACAGCTGAGTGGCGGAATTACCTTCAGCGTGTACGAAAAAGTGATCGACCTGATTAATGGACGAGATGTCTTATCATAAAATTATATACGTGCGGTTGTGCTGAATCAAAATACCCTTTTTGCAATGCTAATACTTCTAAGAATGAGGTCGGGTTCAGCACCAAAACCTAACGAGACTTCCAACTGTCAACGCTTGCGCAATGGCTAAACAGCCCAAGGTACCCGATAAGTATCAGATTAGAAGTAAAATTAAAAAAATTATCACGACCCGATCCTGAATCGAACAAGAGACTTCCGTATAAAGTAAACGGATGCGATTACCACTTCGCCATCGGGTCAACCTGGATAAATCATTGTTTCATGACCACAACCACTCGGTAGACACAACTTCTCATACCAATCAACTCGATCAACAGATTCACGAAATTTATAGTCACCGCATTACCTTATCCGGGTTGCCAAATACTTAATGAAAGAGCCTCACTGGTATCAGCAAAAAGGCAAGTCAACGACCCGATCCTGAATCGAACAGGAGACTTCCACGATCACGGCGGACACGATTGCCACTTCGCCATCAGGTCAACGCTACACAAGATTATTTCATGACCACAACTACTCAGTAACAAGCGTCAATTGACGTCGATTCGTAACAGTACAGTAAAAGACGAGTCTTAAAAAATAAAAAATGCACGGACAGTCTTCTCGCACCGAGGAAAAAATAAGATACAAAACCCTCAACACTCCAAGACGTTGACCAGCTTACGCCTCACCAGCCTTTTTCCCTGCAGGCTTCCCAGTCCCCGTCAAGCTCTTGTGGATAAATGGCAATACTCCTCCTCCAGCAATAGTAGCGCGTACAAGTGTGTCGAGTTCTTCATCACCACGGATAGCAAGTTGGAGATGGCGGGGCGTTATACGTTTTACACGCAGATCTTTCGATGCGTTGCCTGAATAAATGTCGTCGCGGTATTAGGAGACGTCTAAACGATCAACAATAGTTCGCAACCCACCTGCAAGTTCGAGAACTTCCGCAGTGAGATATTCGAGGATTGCAGAGGTGTACACGGCGGCTTTCGCGCCGATACGGACGTTATGCTGTGTGCGTTGTTTCAGGTAACGATGGATACGACCGACGGGGAACTATAATCACCAAGCGACGGCATGAGTCACACCGAACCTGGAAAATGTAAAGTAATCTACCTGGAGACCAGCTTTGGCACTTCTAGTTTGGACGGTCTTGGGTGCAGTCGAAGCTGCTGCAGCACCACCGGACTTGGACTTTCCTCCTTTGGTAGAAGACATGGTTGTGTAGTGGACGGCGTGGTGCTATGCATGAATCCGTGAAATAATTTTGGGAGAGGGGCAGGGGTAAATAATTGGTTAGCAGACGGTGGCGGCGAGGTTTGCATGCGGCGCTCACCTTGAATTAGGCTTCGAAAAAATCAGCAGTAGACCTACCTAATTGAAAAAATAAATCATTGTGAGGCCCAAAGCAGTAGAAAGACCAGAAAGTGGATCATACGACGACGGATGGAAAAGTGGCGGAATAACGTCGTGGTTGTGAATGAAGCAACGTGTGAACTTTCTACATTGTTGATTCGTTTATTTAGGTATGTCACGTGGATTGCGCCACTGGCGCGTTCAAAATTACTGTTCTTCCTCTATGTGTCTCATCGGTTACCGTTGCTTGACACGGGTGTTGGGCACTCTGGTATCCTTGTCGGATTCATATTTTACAAGCCATCACGCCAGATTCTTCTGGTAACACAATCATGCATTGAGAGTCCATTTCCAATTATGTAAATCCAGGGGACAAATCGAGTTTTGAAGACTGGCACACGCATCCGTATCGGCGACACAGAGCATCATGTCGCAGCAGTTCTTTTAGCTTGACGTCTCACTCCATATTGTGGTGTCTGACGCGCCACCCAACTGGTTTTGGAGGTAGCTGACGTGCATTGACGTCATAGTGCAATGCATAAGCGCCCACTTAGTCGGTATAAAGAGTCGACATCCACGCCTGTGGAGTCTTCCAGCATACATCCACACTTTACACAAACAATGGCGTCAATCGAAATCCCAATCACCCGTCCCGAGCACCAGGTGCACGATTCTTCCGACCCTCTGCCAGGCGTACGCGGAGCACAACCCGCTGCTGACTACAGCGCAACAACCATGGAACGTACACCCAGCTCAGCATTTGACCCCGAAAATCTCGAGAACCCAAATGTCCAGACGAACATGGCTCGCTCCGGTAGCGGTACAGGTCAAACTGCGTTTAACAGCGAGAGACCGATGAATGTCCAACCCGCTTCAGAAGGTTCGTTGGCACATCACGCACATTCACTGGTTTCGTTGTTTATAATCTTTGTTTAGGCGGTGTCGCTGTTGGTGGCGAGAGTGACATGCCCATGGGCAAAGCCAGCTTCGGGGACAAAGTCATCGGCAAGGCTCAAAAAGTAGATCGAGTCCTCACCATACGCAGTTTTTCAGATTGCTAATACATTTGTTAGGTCACCGGAAAATTGACCCACAACACTGAAATGCATGAGAAGGGCGAACTTCGCGAGGCAGGCGGCAAAGATGCTGCCCTCGGCAACGCTCGTGCTCCCCATGATTAAGCTACCGCGAAGAGGTGTAACAGAAGGACTTATCGCAATAATTTGTATCATGTAAAACCATACTATCGGCCTACACCTTCTTGACCTGTACATCTTGCATAATATATCATACAACACAGAAGTTAGCCGATGGGTACACTCGTTTGACCCTTTCGTTCAAACACCAACGATATGTTATATTGGATCATGAGTCAACTAGTCATAACGCTCATAACAATGTACGAGCCAGACGGATATCTGGATGTTGAACTAAGACTTCGTCGAAGCACTGGCGACTCGACCGAACCCGCTCGCTGGCGGCCCTTTACTCGCAGATGAGATTTCAAGTCTGGCAAAGCCTGGGTTACCACCAGCCTCCAGAGGCATTCGTCGGCCGTGGGTGAAGGGGACACAGGTTCGGCAACCACAGATTCCAGAAAGGCCTTTTGGGACTGCCCTGAGAGTATGAATCGTGGATCTTCGTCGTGTAGCCGCGGTTTTCACTGGTCACGGCGTGACTAGGAACTCCGATCCCGCTGACTTTCAAAATCTGTCTCACTCCGCGAGAGTTGTAGAGCTTGGTGAGTAGGACTGTATATCTGAGATATGTCCAACCACGTTTGACAAGGACCGACTGAAATACGGGCTTAATAACAAATTTTCGTGACTAATAACGAACTACATTTGAGGCTGGTAATTACGAATGAATGAAATCTACTCGAGGATTCCGGACGGCAGTAACAGTCATCCTGGTTTGCACTGTTACCGTGACGATGATTGGTCCACGACCGTGGATATCCGCGAAGGGATCCGGACGTCCACGGAACACTTCCTTGAGCAACTCAAGCACATCCCGGACAAATCCGCACAATGTCTTAAGCCAGCATGCACGGCCCCTTCCATGAATATGTTCAACTCCGCTGCCCAGCTTATAGAAGCCTGCCGATCGTGAACTGTCACAGGCATATGCGACGGATGATAACCCAGGACCAGGAGGTGGAGACAGGGTGGGCTGCGTGGGCTTCGTAGCCTCGCTTTCGTGTTGTTTGCTTTGTTCTCCACAATGTGAAGAATCCGAAGGCGACCGCGGACGGGCTATGGGAGATGTGACTTCACGTCTGCCGATCTGCTTCGTTGTTTGTTAGTTGGAATGATATCAGCACCACTAATACTGACAAACACACACCCTCTCATCCACGTTCGCCATACTAGGTCCGTCATTGTTAGAAAGGACAGCACTCTTCTCCACTATTCGGACAATGTAACCCTCTGGATTCATCACACTTCGGAGGCGACTCAGAAGAGGCAATCGCGGTGGCCTACACTCTACCAGAAGATACTGGCGCCTGCTATTGGTAAACCGTCAGCACTAGCATCTACCTACAGTGTGGAAACTCACGTGTCTTGGCGGTGTCGGTTGGATTGGACCTGCTCGAGTTGCTTCTGTGTCAAGGCAGATATAAAAATGGAAAACCAACAGAAGCCACCTCTATATATTGAACGCGGAACCAGTCTCCTTATGAAATGCCGAGTGGAAGAAGCGCAAGGGTTGACACTATACTGTTCCTGGTAGGCACGTTTGGAGCCCCATTTGACCTCAGCCTTGTTTGTTTTAAATGCAGCTAGCATTTTCAACCTTGCTTTTCCTCCGAAATTTCGAGCATCGTTTTGCAGGTGGGACTCAATCACGGACTTATGTTTGCGCTCTAACAATCATCTTTGGACAAAGCGCGGCACCAAAACGAATGCTTTGCACAGTGAGGACACATGTGGGGAAACGACAATTAACAATTGATCGGACGAAATTGAGGACGTGGGCGTGTCTTGCTTGGCGGTGTCTTGCTTGGCGGTGTCTTTGTTTTCGCGAAATCGGACGACGGCCGTCCGAATCGAGTGGCAGTTTTGGAGGACATCCATGAAATGGAAAGTCTCTGAGAGACTACGAGACTCGGAGACTGCGAGAGAGCAAACGCTGTGCAGCTGCAACTCTCGATCACCCCAACTTGAAGATGTACACTGTTTTCCACATGTTAAAGACATAAAACGACCAAAGTATCCGGGGCTGGACACGGAAACATTGCATGGACTGGCAGGATTGGCTTGGCCTGCTATAGCAGAGTGATCCACCCGTACATGTGAACTGTTCAATCCTTTGGGGAGGATCCTCAACACCTCCAAGGCCATGTTCCCGGTGGGTAGAATACACATGGATGTTTTCGCTCCACAGGGTGCAAGTATCTCGCGGTGTTTGTGCAGTGTGCTGCCAGTGAACAGGTCCTATGGTTGACCCTCGCAGCCAACGGATGTCCCTGCTGAGCTTGTTGGGAAAGACAGCTTAGTGGCGTCTTGGAATCTTAAGAGACATCATGATCAAGTTTGGAGCAAAGTACGCGGGATTCTGCTACCTACGTCATATCGTTCGCCGAAATCAAAGTGAGGCTCATATGTTTATCGTGATTTTAGTTTTTGATGCCTTTTCCCTTTAAGCTCACTAGCTCATGTGGAATTGTCGACATCTTCCCGATCCCATCATATTTTTCCTCGCTCTATATAAGTCTCTATATCTATCTCATCAGTTCTCATTCCACGTTCTGGGTGAGGATTTCCACGCCCTCATTTGCTGATTCCATCCCGACATTGAGGTACGCAGAGTGGTGTCGAAGTCAGTGCATATTCGGCTGGTATGGGATCATTGTTCGTGGAAGGTTTTCCCACCAACTACATGTTCACAGGCCTTCGACGAACCTCTAACGCCTGCATTATATGCAGGTCTAGATTATTCCCAACTAGAGTTCTGTAGAGTCACGCAATATATTTGAGTTTCCTTTTCCAGAACCGGATGGGAACGAGCTTAGCGATCGACTGTCATCACAGGTCATCACTCGAAACATATGGGATGCCTAGGGGAGACTAGCTAATTATGTCTCAGGTGTCAATCGGCACTCACAATGCACCGAACGTTGTAAATTCGTTTCATTCTT